AGTTTTCAGCATACATATAGCCAATTGTACCATAACCATTTGTTGAACAGGTTGTCTTTCCTCCATCCTATAGTTTTGACTCCCTCACATCATGATGTCTTCCTCAAGTATAAAATTTGAAGGCTAAAGATGGTCATGGTGGCTCACCCCTGTAATCCTAGCTAGTCAGAAGGCTGAGATCTGAGGAACATGGTTCATAGCCACTCTGGGCAGAAAAGTCCGTGATATGCTTATGTCTGATTTAGCATCAAAAAGCCTACACATGAAGCTGTGGCTCATGTGATAGACTGCTAGCCTTGAACAAGAAAAAGCCTCATGGAAAGCATTCAAGCCCCAAGATTGACACAAAAAAATCCAACCAAAGTTTTAAGGCTGGTTTATTTTTTGTATAAAGCAATACTACATAGATTGTTACAGTGCTTATTGGATAAGTTGTTATCTCAGTCTGTTTGGGTTGCTTTAATGCAATGTTTGAGACTGGATAATTTATTAAGAATGGAGATTTATGTCTTACAATTCTAGAAACTGGGAATTCCAACTTTGAAAGATCTGCATCTGGAGAAGAACTTCTTGCTGCCTTTGACAGAAAAGCAAGAGCAACATGCAAACGTGCATGTCTCAGAGAAGAGGTTCCTTTTATAAAAGGACAACACACCAGTAATGAATTACCATACTTTCCAATAATATGTTTATGTATTGCATTTTGATAAGCAGAGAACCAGTGTCACATTTTAAAGTGCTATGTCAAAAAATGACCCTTTCCTTGATTTTAATAGGCATTTTAATCTGGCACTTGTATAGCTCATGCTAATGGGACAGGTTCATGTGTATATAATCATGTGTATGTATAATAGTACTTAACAGTATGTTTTAAAAGAAGATCTTTATTATCTGTCACAGTGTTCCAGGATCTCACAAAGAGAAGAAACGTACCCAGAAAATGAAGGGAAAGAAGCCTAGACAATCGTAATCAGACAAGTCAAGCTACGGACAGAATTTGGGCCTGCCTGCATTTAAAAACAGATAATATGGGCTGGGAAGGTGGCTCAGTGGTAGAGTGCTTGCCTCTCATGCATGAGTTCCTGGGTTCAATTCTTCGGCACTACATAAGCAGAAAAAGCCAGAAGTGGTGTTGTGGATCAAGTGATAGGGCGCTAGCCTTGAGCTGAAGAGCTGAGGGACAGTTCCCAGGCCCAGAGTTCAGCCTCCACGACGGACAAAAAAAAAGATGATGTTCTTTGATGAGTTTACCTATGAAATATAAAGATAAATTAAATAATATGTGTCTTCTATCTTCAAAGGGCTTTTATAGGACAATGGCAGAACTATAGGCATAGATCCCTATGCCAAACTCAGTGGGACAAAATATGCAGATTTTTTCCTCAAACTGGACAAGATACAATCTAAATTACTAAAACTAGGCTAGTTCCTGTCCATTAACAGAGCTGAATTGGTATCTCTTGCTCTTTGTTTTTTATTTTACCCAATCCTAGGGATCAAACTGAGGGGCTTTGCACATGTGTTGTACCATAAAGCTCTATCTGTGGCCTGAGATAAGTTTTCATTATGTAGTTCCAACTGAGCTTGAATGTTCTAGATAGCCCAAACTAACCTCAAAATCTTTTTTCTGCTACCTCTTTCTCTCAAGTGGTAGGATTACAGTTGTGTGCTCACATATCTGGCTGTACTTCTAGCTCTTAGAAACCTTGTTGGAAAAGATCACACTTTCACTTGAGCACTGTGGAGAGTGATTTTACTTACTCTAAAGGATATTGATCTGGGTTAAAAAAATTAAATTTCTCTCTTGTGATTGTAACTGAATTAATTTCATCATTAGTCCTCAGTCTCTCATCAAGTGAGAACATATTTTCCCATGTTCCTGGAAAGAATGGAACTTCATAGGATACAAAAGTTGCATTCCTCTTCCCTCAAATTCCTCTTTAAAAGCAGTCACAATGGAGATTAGGATTTCAGCAAATGATCTTGGGATAAAGGACATGACTGTGTTTATAACAGGTAGCAATGCTATTTGCACATTGTATAATATCATCCCCCTCTGGGAGAAAAAATATGAAGGAGGGTGATCAATTCTCATTTATATGTGATACCAAGTTATTTAAAATGTAGACTGTTATGTGACTCTTCTATATTATATACACGGTATTATGTGTAATATGAGTGTAATTAGGGTGAATGAACATAAAGTAATTACTCTGTTTTGTTGACCTTATAGAACACACATAGATTTAACAAAGGAAGAGTCAGGCAGACCAGCGTCACCTTTCAGCCAGGCAGAAATATATACTTCTGTATATTTCTAGCCAGAGGGAAAGAGAGGTCCAAAGTCAGAAGTATCAGACAGGATTATTACTCTTTTGTGCAGTGATCAAATCACCAGATTTGGTCTTATTTTCTGGATATGTGGCTTTGAGGTTTGGATCAAACCTGAGTAAAGAACCAAAATATGGGCTCTCTAGTGCACATATGCAATGAAACAAAAGATTCTCTTGTAGTGATTCAAGAATAACAAGTGAGAATGTCATAGTCCCCCGTGAAGGCCAAATCACCCTTTATGTACCACTGGAGCATTTACAATGTTCCCATTTATGAGTGTATATAGTGTATTGTATTAGGACTTGCCAGGTTGAGCAAATAAAAAATAGTGGGTGCCCATTTAAATAAGAATTGAATACAAGTGACTTTTAGTATAAATCTCCTTCAGTATTTGGGATCCACTTGAGCAAAATAAAGTCCTTGTATGACAGGTATATTTATACTAAGAAATTATTTGTTGTGATTTCTGACAACCTTATTTTAGTTTAAAGAATGAATGAAGTCTGATAAAAATATATATATACCAGAAAGAAATGGAACTAGAGATCTCTGGGAGGGTAAGATCAAGGGGCGGGTGCAGACAAATGAAGAGAGGAAGAATGGATGAATGCTGTCATATGTTCATTGTATATATGTCAAAATGGAGCCAGGTAAATTAAAGGGATGGGTGGGGTTGGGAGAGATGGAGGAAAATGATGAAATGGGTTGCATTGATCAAGATGGATTATACTCATGAAATAACATGTTAACTGAAAACTTCTTTGTACAACTAATTACAAGGGTAACAATTTAAAAATGAATCCTTTCCCTTGCTGCCCTGTTAACACCCTCTTAAACTGTTTTGTTTGGGTTTTTTTGTTTTTGTTTTTGTTTTTTGGGGGTCCGGTAGGAGGCCTGAACTCTGGGCCTGGGCGCTGTCCCTCAGCTCTTCAGCTCAAGGCTAGCATTTGAGCCACAGCGCCACTTCTGGCTTTTTTTTTTTTGCTTATGTGGTGCTGAGGAATCGAACCCAGGGCCTCAGGCATGCAAGGCAAGCGCTCTACCACTGAGCCACCTTTCCAGTCCTTAAACTGTTTTTGTCCACTTTGTAACCTTAATTTTCTGGTCTTTAAAGCATAAAATTCTCAGGCCTAAGGTTTTTGAGGGTTTTTTTTTCCCCATTATGCTGCTGTGACATATGATTACAAATAGATGTTTTGAAATGTTAAAGCTTGTTGTACTCAACTTTTCACCTATGCTAATGAACTTATTTACATCTTATATTAATGTCACTGAATAACATCATGATAGCTCTAGTAGACATTAGATACCTAGTAACATGGTAAAAAAAAAAAAAAAAGTCCAAGTCCTCTGTCTCCAAAGGTAAAGCTCAGTTTTCTTAGCTGTAAAGTCAGAGGATTAGATTCACAGTATTTTCCCCAAGGTTTCTTCTAAATTTTCCATGCTAGCAGTCTTTGAAATGAGGGCTCCATTAATGCTCTCATTTGCCTGGTGAAACCTAAGGGATTCATCTAAAAATGAATCCCTCGTCAAGTATGTATGTAGGTTACTAAATAAGTAGTGATTAGATTACTTAATTAATGGCTTCACCTTTAAGAAACATGTTTATGTAATCTAAATTCTTCAAGGACTAAAAAAAAGCACATCCCTTTTTTTCACCCTTAGTTCTCTAAACACCATGATTTTGTAAACAATGAGTGAACAAATCCTCTGGTCTTCAAAATGCTGATAAAGGTGAAATGATCCTATTGTGGTGGGTTCTAATTGTTGGAAATAATTTTGCTGTGAACTGTGATTTGAGTCTGGGAGCAACTCCTTGTTCTCTACTTCCATCTAGTGGCAGAAATGTTGCCACTCAACTGGCAACTGGGAGCTGCAAAGGTTTTAAGATTGTCAATCAAATGAATGAATTGTTTTATTCTTGCCATTAAAGTAAAAGAGGATTTATACAGTGTTTCAACAGATAACATGTAATAAATATTAACAAAAGTAACCTATAACACAGGTTTTAGTACTTAACCAATATAGATTAAATTGCATGAATTTAATCTAATTGGTTCAAATGCTAATATGAATATTGGAGAAAGATGTATGGTAGCCTAATGCCTTTTCTTTATAAAGGATTATAAACTTTAAAAAAAAGTTTTAGTGTTTCTTTTCTTTAAATGTAATGGTAGCCAATGGAAAGGAAAGAAGATGAATATGAAATTTTGATAAACATTGAATTGGTACAGAATATCTCAGTTCTGTACTAAACCGCTTGTCTTCAATTAAATGAGAGCTTTAGTTTCATTATTATTTATATAGGCAATCCAATTTTTAATGACTGTTGAATGATATTTAGTTTTAATGTCCTATAATCCAGAACTTCTTCAAATGGAATAATAGTGGGCTTAACTATGTGAATCTACAGTAAAAATAAATTTCTCAAATGAATGAAATAAAATATTTCTGAAGTGCTCCTTTTCACCATTAAATCTAGGAACTATAAGAGAAAAAAATATGCCTGACATTTTAACATTATTCCAACTTTCTTTTGATTTTTAATTTAAAATGCCAACATCATAATAAAATATTTAGATCTAACAGATATGTAATTTGGATGACATTTTGTTTCTTAATATACTTCTGAGCCAACTGAGGAATCTTCAATTTATTTTTTTCAGGGTGGGAAAATCCCTATAAGATGGACAGCCCCAGAAGCTATTGCCTACAGAAAATTCTCCTCAGCAAGTGATGCATGGAGCTATGGCATTGTCATGTGGGAGGTGATGTCCTATGGAGAAAGGCCTTACTGGGAAATGTCTAACCAAGATGTGAGTGCATAGAGGTTGTCCTTTGGTGTCCACAAGCACATTAGTTTGAGGGAAAGGAGAGAGCCCTTAGTCCCTCCATCTTCTGAAATTGGCTCAACATCAAATGGCTAGGTTTCAGAACCTTAGGAATCTTTCACTAGAAACTGGTTTTTATGACTTGGGGCCAGCTGATTCATCTTACCACAGAGATTTTGTTGCTCAAATGCAACAAAATTGGCTCTATAATGCCCTTGACCAACAAGTACAAAAAGCAGAATAACACTGACTTCTCCTTTCTTCTAACAGAGCAATTGAATTAATCACTATAAAACCCAAATAAGTTTAAGGTAGATACCACTTAAAAGAAAAAGAGTGAGTGAGGAAGTGGTGCTGTGGCTCAGGGATAATACCTAGGCTCTAAGCTCAAACGGGGGGTGGGGGGCGGGGAGCAGAATGGTTGGGGGGAGTGAAGACATTGATGCAATATATTGTCAATATATGTCATCTAGCATGATCTTTTTGAGCTTCATAATTTATACAATGTTTGGTTTCCATTTTTGTTTCATTTTGTTGAAAGATTAAAAACAGAATAGTTTACACATTTAATCTCTACATCCTATACACAATAAAGAAAACAGTAATAAGATACAGGTATTCAAGCAATTTACATAGAGTAGTACAAGACCAGTAGTTCCTCAGTTAACTACAAACCTCCATTTCCCATACTTTGCTAATCCAGCCCAAATCAAACCATTCAAGTTTCTTTAGGGCTTAATCACAGAGAAAGTTTCTCCATTTCTCATCCCAGGCCAAGACATGATTAGATTTTTGTTACACTGAGATCTAATGATAAATTTATAAATATAAATATATATAATTTATAATTTATAAATTTATACAGTATTATAAGTGCATCTATTTATAATCATAAATAACTTAATCCCTTGATTTAATAGTCATGAAACAGAAACAGAGAATTGACTTGAGTGTCCTGGTATCCCATATTAATGAATTGCCAGTGCTTCTAGAATGTAATTCCAATAGATTTCTACGGTAAGTCGTTAATGCCTGTCAGAGTGGCTTGTTTCCACTTCCCGGTAGGACCCATCATCTACTGTGCTGGTAGAGCTTACAGTCGTGAGGCCTGAACTCTGGGCCTGGGCGCTGTCCCTCAGCTCTTCAGCTAAAGGCTAGTGCTCTACCACTTGAGTCACAGCACCACTTCTGGTTTTTTCTGCTTATGTGGTGCTGAGCAATCAAACATGGAAGGCCTCATGCATGGAAGTCAAGCACTCTACCACTGAGTCACCTTCCCAGCCCAGAGTTTAACACCTTAATTTGAGGAATAGAAATGTTAATCAAAATGCATTGGTAAAAAGAAACATAGGTGACATTTCAAAGAAAAAGGTAAGTGGTAAAGATTCATCTACATATGTGTATTATAAAACATCTTCATAATAATCATCCATTTGTAAGCATAAAAGTCATAATTAGTCTTCTTATTGAGCATTCATAAACTTATTTTTTAAAAAGCAAAGACAAATAATACAATGAGGAGTTACCTGATGTTCCTGGCCCCTAGATTTTCTTACCTCCTGGTGTACAAGGCAATAATCGACTCAGCAACCACCGATGGCTATGGTTATGTGGATCCTAATTCAATCATGAACGTCACTTTACTTTTCAAAGTGCCTCAGTTTCATGACTGAGAAAAATAATAAAGGGAGAGGCTGGAATAGAAAAGGTTCAATATCTCTTTTTACTCATACCAAAATATAACTTTATAAACTCCAAAGAAAATTATTATACTTTCCTCCACAAATAAATGCCTCATGTTTTTCCCTTCTGAAGTTTAGGACCTCTCTGGTCTCTGTCCAGATGCCTAGAATCAGATCAGACTTCCACAGAGCAGAACAGGGACAAGTGAAGATGCCAGACGATGTGATAGATTTTTTTAGGATACAGCTTCTGCAAAAAAGGGCTCAAATGGGTAGTTTTCAACACAGACCACCATATAAATTGATCTTCATTGTCTACAGTAGTCGGTACCTTATAGCCAGGCCCTCCCTGCCTGGATCTTGTATTGTCATTTACCCAGTCATTCTGGCCACAGGTCTTAATGATCTCTGTCCATGATGACTATTTAGTAAACCTCATTTGGAAACAGAGACTCTGTCTGCAAGAAGAGAAGATGTTGCAGCCAGGAACATACTCCTAACATTAAGCCCATTCTCATTCATTCAGGATTGCCAATGCTCACAGCATAAGGCCCAACTCTTCCATCACCCAGAGCTTGGTTCATTTTCCAAAGCTAAAGTTGGTATTATTGCCAAAGAATATTCAAGCAAGGATGAAAGACAGAGGGAGTCACTGGGAAATTAACTTTTAAGTCCCCTAGGTTAATACTTGACTAGAAGAAAGTAGTAAGAACTAAAATCATTTATGTATCTTTATACTACAGTGGTAAAGAGAGTTAGAATTCTTTTAGCTAAATGCATTAGAAGTCACCATGCTTGTGTCATATCCTGTATCCGGAATCTCTATTTGGAAGAAAAAACAGCTTACTCAAAATATTTCCAGACGCTTTCTTCAAATACTATTTTATATTTAACCTGCATCTCTCATTTATTGGATCAAGATATAGTGTTGTGTTGGATTTTTTCCAACCAAGAAGCATTTTAAATAAGGAAAGTAATATGCTACACAATAAAAGTTGGGCTGTGTTCTCTGTATATTTTATTCATCTTTACCACAATTAATGAGTTTAGCAAACTGTGGAGCAAATGATCAAATGGAATGTTACTGTGCTTTATGGTTTTTAAAGTGAGTTTAAGTAATTCAGATAGTGTTCATGCAATAGTTCCTCCATTCTGTAGACTGTGGTATATTTTATTACAATGAACAATTCTGAGTTTGCAGAATCTGCTTTTGTGAATAATATAATGAGTTTCCCAAAGGTCAGTGGTATTGTACATTAGGGAAAGGAAATGAGAAAAAAAGAGTGCACAGAACTAAACCATAAAATACCTTAAAAATTAACAGTAGGTGCCATCTGCTTAGTTATTCAGCAGCTATTTATTAAACGTGTCAATCACCAGACTAGGTATGCATGAAAAGTGGGGATGGGGAATTAGAAAACTCAATCTTCTCTGTTAATGTTAAGTGAAATAAGCCAAAGACAGAAAGACAATTACTGAATGTTCTCACTTTCAGGTAGAAGCTAAAAAATAGTTGATTGTATAGATGTAAACAATAGAATAATAGTTACTAGACATTACACAGGAGAGGCAAGAGGGTGATACATAGGGAAAGATCAGAGAACAAGTACAAAATCACAGGTAAGTGGGATAAATTATAGAATTCTTAGAAGCATAGTAGAACTATAGGCTACAAGAAGTTATTATAAATTTTATCAGAACTATAAAAGCAGACTTTGAATATCCCCATGAGAGATATTTATGGAGATGAAAATGTTAAATATGTTGCTTGATCTTTACAACTTATATACATGTATGAAATTTTCATTCCACACTGGATAATTATATTCAACTGAAAAAAGAAACCACACTCCTCATTCAACCCTCTTTAAATCCTGGTTACTGCACTGAAGTCTAATATTGGTCTTACCCTCTTGTCCAAATAGAAAAATTCTTATCCAGGGTAGATGTTGCAATTTCTTTTATTTTTTTAAATATAAATGAAATTGTGAACACGGCAGTTAATAATTTTTTCAGAAGTACAAATCTTGTACATCTCATTGTTGCAATGAGTCCACACAAACACTATTTCAGAAGTTTTTTATTGTAAAGGTGATGTACAGAGTGGTTACAATTACATAAATCAGGTAATGAGTACATTTCTTTTTGAATGTTGTCATCTCTTTCCTCTTATTCTCCTAGTTTTGTGTTTATTTGTTTGTTTGTATGTTTGTTCTGCCAGTCCTGGGGCTTGAACTCAGGGCCTGGGTACTGTCCCTGAGCTTCTTTTGCTCAAGACCAGCACTCTACCACTTGAACCACAACATTACTTCCAGCTTCTGCTGTTTTTGTGGTACTGAGGAATGGAACCAAGGACTTCATGCATGCTAGGCAATCAGTCTACCACTGTTCCATATTCCCAGCCCATTCTCCCAGTTTTTTCCCTCCTGACTCCCTCTCCCACAAATTATAGTTTACTTTCAACAAAGTGAAAGTGAGTATCATGGCTGCATTAGTTCACCTTTTGTCCCATCATTTCTGTGCTCCCCCTTATCCTTACCAAAACAGGTAAACATACTTACCAGCCAAAAAGTACAGAACTCAAAAACAAAGGAGGAAAAAACACACACAAAAAAGCCCTCTGGAACAGAAGACCCAGAAATTAACCCACAGACCTATAGCCACCTAATATTTGATAAGGGAGCCAAAAACACAGGCTGGAAGAAAGATAGCCTCTTCAACAAATGGTGCTGGTAGAATTGGCTATACACATGCTGAAAACTGATGCTAGAACCTAATATATCATGCTGCACCAGAATCAATTCTAAATGGATCAAAGACCTCAATGTAAGACCAGATACCATGAAAATACTATACAAAGATGTAGGGGAAGCACTAAGGCTACTAGGCACAATTTGAAACTTCTTAAGGAAAGATCCAAAATCACAACAAATCTAAGATAAATAGGATTGTATCAAACCAAAGAGTTTCTTCTTGGCAAAAAACCACAGAATGAGAGAAGATCTTTATTATCTACGCATCAGATAAGGGCCTTATGTCTAAAACATACTTGGAACTCAAAAAATTAACCCCCCCAAAAAACCTCCAAGAAACAACAATCCAATTAATAAGTGGGCTAAAGACTTAAAGTGAGACTTCTCCAAAGAAGAAATAAGAATGACCATTAGACTTATGAAGAGATCTCCAACATCTCTGGCCATAAATGAAATGAAAATCCAAACAACATTGAGATTCCACCTCACCCCAGTTAGAATGGCCATTATCAAGAAAACTAACAATAACAGATGTTGGAGGGGATGTGGT